CCTGTAGGGGGACAGGCCCGACATAAGTGCAGTTGCCCCTGCCGAGATCGAAGAGCCCTCGGGATTGAAGGCACCCTTGCAGCAGAAGACCACGAGCAGCCTCACGCAGCCCACGGTGCGGGGCCCCGACGGGCCACCGACATCTCGAGGGCCCCGGGGCCCCCCCGCGGGGCGCCCGGCGCCTCTCTGGTTCAGAGCTCTTCCGGGCAGGCTGTTTATGGAATCGGATTGTCGGAGGAGGGGGGGAAATGAGCCAAGGAAAGCACGATCCTTACCAGCCTCGAACGTATCCCTATCCCTAAGCTTGACACGCCGAAAGGCGATGACAATCTTAGGAATTCGCCTCAAAAAAGGGGGAATCCCTAAGATTGGCATCGTGATGAGGAGGTGCCCAGCATGGGGATAGGGATATGTTCCAGGCTGGTGAGATCCCACCCCATCCACGACCCGCGTGCTGGATTGTGGCGGTCTTGCCTCGCCCTCCTGTGTGTGATGTCTCGTGGTCCACGGCGGCGTGACCGCGACGGACTCGGCGGCCGCAGTTCCCCAGGGCTTCGATATGATGGCTGGGGCCACTTCGTTGTCAACGTGGTCCGGAGGTGGGGGGGAAATCGAAGGGGAGCCCCGAGCCCATGGGCATGCCTTCCGGTGTGGTGCTGCCGGTCCATCCACGGCCCCACCGCATCACCGGAGCTCCCGACCCCAGCCCCAGGGGGCCTCTGTGCCCGGGATCGCTTCTTCAGATCGCCCGACACAAGCGGCCCCTGGAGGTCGGCATCGAGGAAAAACGCCAAGCAAACGAGCGAACACAGCCAGGCCTCTGGACGGACGCGTGGACAGGCAGAGGTTCACATGTGGCAGCCAGACGAAGGAACAAGGAGATCCTGCACCCCTGCAGACCAGCGGTCTCAGGCCCGGAGGCAGGCCACGGGGCAGCCCTGCGGTGCCTGCCGGCCGCACCGGCATCGACCTGAGTAGCTTGAGCTACGGCAGGCCTTGCTGTGGGAGCTTGGGCCCGTGGCCCACCGAGCGCATTCCACTATACTCGCCAAGTGCCTACTCGCAAACGTCTGCAAACATAAAAAAAACATGTCTGCTTCGATGCAAGTTGTCGTAGTTCCCCCGCGGCGGGTCCAGGCCATTCGCAAGTCTTCACCCAGCGAGTAGTAGAACGCGCTTGTCGAATGGCAATCTTCAGGAGGGGCAAGAGCACTCAGACGCAATTCACCGACGACTCCACCCAAAAATATGGGAAACTATGGGACCTGGGGGGGTCGACAAAATCCAGAACATATGGGATAATGTGGGGCATCCGGTGATTTGTGTGCCCCTTCCAACATGGAAACCCACACGCCCCGAATATATCTCTGCGCGGCTCACGAGGGGGCCACGACGGGGCGGCCGCGGGGGGCCTCCGATCTCGGGGGCCTGGGCTTCCCCAGTGGGCGTTCGACAAAATGTGCATAACCTTAAGTTGGGCCTGTCCCTCTACAGGGGGAACATATTCAAAAATAGTACAAAAATAGTCCAGGGATTATTTATGTAGTATGCTTTGCAAGTTTGGAATCTGTTTTTAGTCGTTTTGTTTTTCGTCGGAAATCCCCCATGTAGGGGGACACGCCCGACTTCAACATATACGGAGATCGAATCGTCGGACCTCTGGGGACTCGAAGTCAGGATGCAATCCCCGGGAGGTGAAACTCAGCATCGACGCTGGCATATCCGTGGTTAAAAGCTGGCGGCCCAGTCCGGCCGACTGCATTTGAGGCACGTTCAGGTTTGCAAATTCTGGGTTGAGCTTGTGTTCAGTATCGACTCAATCTGGGCTAATTTTTGAGGGTCTTTAGTTTTGCGCTTCCCCCTTCTGTCTCCTTGCGGGGAGCAAATTCGCCTCTCCTCTTGCTGCCGCTGCTCCTCCTCCTCCTCCTCCTTGTCCTTCTCCCCCCTCCTCCTCCTCCTTCTTCTCCTCCTGCTCCTGCTCCTTCTCCTCACGGTTCTCCTCCTGCTCCTCGTGGTTGTCATCGTAGTAGTCGTTGTCGTCGTCGGTAGTCGTGGTTGTAGTCGTAATCGTAGTCGTCGTCGTCGCGGGGGAGATCGTTTTCCCTCTATTGTTGAGCGGGCTGGATCATGTTGGGAGGTTCCTCTCTCCCATGGAATCATACATCGTGGGCTACCCTACACACGAGAGGATGTGTGAGGATCTTCTCATGAGGATTGCATTGGGAATCAGTTGTTGTGGTTGTAGTCGTGATTGTAGTCGTGCCTGCAATCGTGAATGCGATCTTGATTGAAGTCGTGATTGTACTCGTAACCGTAGTTGCGATTATCGTCATATTCGTAGTGGTAATCGTGTTCGTAGTCGTTAGCGTAATCACAATGGTATTCGTAGTCGTCGTCGTCGTTGTTGCGCGGTGTGTGGCGCGGGGGAATATTTGTTCACCATGACTGTTGGGGTCAAGTCTGTGAATAAGGCCGCCGAAAATATTCCGCGTTTCCATGTTTTGGGGAGGGTTCTGAATATCGGTAGCGCTGAATCCAGTTGCATTGCCTGTTAGTCGGGAACAGTATCAGCCCTAATCGTTCGAATGATTGCCTCCCAGAAATTGCCTCCTAATCGAAGGGGGGCCCCGAAGGTCCACCCGTAGGAGCGTGCCCCAAAGAACGTGCTCGACCACAGGAGGGCCTTGAACACGGCCCCTCCACTTCCCAGTGAGAGCGGGGGCCTGCGGCTAACCTTTATCGTCCAGTGCATCTTCGCGACGCGGCTTGAGGACCTGGTGAAGGAGAAGGACCCCCGCCCCGACGGGGCCCGGTCACAGGAGGACGACCCTGAGATCCTTGCGCCGCCATTCTGTCACAACGGGCGATTTTGTCTTGTCTCGGGCCCGGGACCCTCACTGATCGATCCAGCTCGAAGAATGCAGCAGAATCACAGGGTCCAGGGCTCGGGTCGAGTTCGTTTTGTCTTCCCGATTTTGCATTTGTTTGTCACGCCGGATTGCAGGCAAGCGACATCGACTCCGCTACCCGCCCCCAGTCGCCACGGCCTGACTGGCCTCGAAATCGTGGCCAGAATTCAACACGGAGGTAATCGGGGGATCAGTCGTATCCTACAATGCAGCTCCTTTGAGGTTAGATGAAACAGCGGCGCTGGTGTATCCGTGGTCGAGTACCGGCCGAATCCAGCATTGTGCATAGTCCCGCCCAATTCCGCTAAATCGTGGGCTTAATCTGGCTTGCGTCTGGGCTCGATCTTGGCCGAGTCGGTTTAGTGGCCTTTTTATTTGGCCTAAGAGCCCTGAACGTTTTTACAAGGTCTTTCCAGGAGTTGCCTCCTCTGGACCCTCAGGCACCCACGAAGGCTGTGCCTCAAGATTACTGATAGCAAGATTCCCCAATCAGTGCTTGCACTGTTAGGATTCATATTTTGCCGTCGATGACGACCCCCTGGCCACCTCCAAGTTTGGTCCTCAAGAGGCCAGTCTGGTCCGATTTACTGGCTCGATGTTGACCGCCCTTGCCCACGAGACAATGGAACTTGTCCCGCGCGTTGCCTCAGACCCTGGCTCCCTGTCCTCTACCGCTCCGTTCAGCAGCCGAGGCTGGTTCCAGGGCGCGCACACCTGCCGTGGCGCTGCTCTGCCTGCACGCTCACTCACTTGCTTCCCCTCGACTATCTCTACACATATCACCCCACCCCTGTTACCCACACCAGAGCACACAACACGGGCATCAGCATGAACTCTGCGGAGGTCGGAGGTGGGCTTCTGGCGTCCGCGCCGGACCCCTTGGCGGCGCCTCCGGCGCCGACCCTGGCGCGCGCCCTGCGCGCCACGGGAGGAGGGCCAGCGTCGATCCCAGGAGTCCGCGCGGACGTCCGACAGAGTATGTGCATGCCGTTGTTGTGCTCCTCTTCACCAGATCCAGATTCCAAACGCTTCGCGTTACCCCACCAGGATGTGTGTGCGCTTTCTGCCCCTGGCCCTGGCATCCACACTCAGTGCAGCTTGCAGCTCACTTGAGGCGCCGCTTAGGCAGCTTAGGCAGTTTAGGTGCGCGGCTCTAGTTTGCTCCTGTTGTCAATTAGTAGGCCCGCGCCCCGGACTTACGACTCACCGCTTGCGCTCTCGCCTGCGGCCGCGACCAAAAAAGTAACCCCACCGCCCGTCCAGAAACCATGCCTAGGCGCGTTGCCTTGATCAGGCACGTCGGGAAGCACGCAGTGGAATAACGGCTGGGCAACCGTCATGCCCCAAGAGGGGGAGGATGGAGGAGGAACCAGAGGACGAGGAGGAGGAAGAGGCGGAGGAGGAGGAAGAGACGGGAGAGGGGGAGGAGGGCGGAGGGAGGAGGAGGATCAGGCGATTGAGGAAGAGGAAAAAGGAAGATGAGGAGGAGGAGGAGGAGGGCGAATAGAAAAGCCTTAGGCTTCTTGGATGCTTCTCGGAGTCTCTTCGGATGTCTCTTGAGAGCTTCTTGTAGGCTTGTTGGGGCATCTGGGGGCCTCGTGGCGGTCCGGGGGGCCTCTTGCAGCGTCTTGGATGCCTCGGGGGAGCCTCGTTGGGCCTCTTGGGGGTCTCTTGGGAGCCTTGTGGGGGCATCTTGGGGGGATCTTTGGGGCCTCTCGGGGCCTCCTGGGCGCCTCTTGGGGCCCTCTTGGGGCTCCCCTGGAAGCCATCTTGGAGGTGATCGATGAAAGAAGGAGGGGTACTTAGTTAGCGCCCCCTCCCCCAAGGAGACCAGCACTGGGCCCAAGCCTGAGTAACACTGATAATGTGGGCCCTCTCGCCCAGGCCATCTTGGACGTGACCCCGCGACCCCCCCCCGTCCAGGTCCCGGTTTAGGGGTAGGGGGAGGTGTAAGCAGCCCTTCCCCGAAGGGGAAGAAGGGGGATCAGAAGAGGAAGCGCTCTAAACCACTCACGCCTTACAAAGGGCTGATGGGATTTGTTTGGCTGTCTGCGAAGCGAAAGTCGCGCTTGACCGACTCCGCTGGCCTCCATGATTCTTCTCACGGTGGCGCCATTGCTTTGGGCGGCCAATCTGCTGGCCGACGCCCTGGCAGTCCAAGCGGACCCCGAAGAGGGCGCTACTCTGCGACCGCGACCTCCCGCGAGGGACGAAGACGACATGAGCCTCGGCTTCACCTCACAATCTGGCCCAGAGACTTGGGAAGAGGACGCGCCAGATGTGCCCATTGGCGCGGACAGCACGGTCGGCGGCGAGGCGGAGGTCAGTATGCCCCTGTCCAGGCTCCGTGACTCAGACGAGGGCGCCACCCTGCGCAGAGGACTGGGACTGCAAGTCGGCTCCTTCGTGCGGCACCTGGGCGCCCCGACGCCGCGCCAGCCCGCCGCGGCGGGCCCCGACGGCTGGCCGGAGGGCGTGGCGAGCCAGAGCGAGCAGTCGGATGTTGCCACAATCTATAGAAGTGCCCCTGGCCCACGGTGCCTCCAACTTTTCGCTCCCTTTTGGAGCCCCTCGGGGCCCTCGGGGCCTCGTGAGGGGTGCTCTGGAGGCCGTCTGGGCCACCCCGAGGATCCTGGGGGGTACCTTGGGCCAGGGGCACTTCTGGCAGCACCCGACGCAGGAGGGCGGCGGCGCCGTGGTTTCGATCCGGCTGTCCCGGGCCGTCGGGGACGGCCTCGGCCTCGGCCCACAGCTGGGCGCGAGGGCCCAGAAGGAGGGCGCGCCGGGCCGCGAGCACGACGAGGCAAGCGGCGAGGCCCCGCGAGCGGCGAGCGCGTCCACGTATCCACGCCCTCGCGGTGTGGACTCCTGGTCGCGATCCCGCAGGTACGCGGTCGCGTGCTATTCCTCCTCCTCCTGCTCCTCCTCCTCCTTCAACTCCTGCTCCTGCTCCTCCTTTTCCTCCTGCTCCTCCTCCTGCTCCTCCTCCTCCTCCTCCTCCTCCTCCTGCTCCTCCTCCACCTCTTCTTCTCCTTCTTCTTCTTCTTCTTCCTATTTTTATTATTACTATTATTATTATTATTCCTCCTCCTCCTCCTCCTCCTCCTCCTCCTCCTCCTCCTCCTCCTCGGGGCGTCCGCGCGAAGAGTCGCCCCGTATCCGCGGGGTCTCGGCCCCCAGGGGCCCGGCCCGCGAGGCCGCGGATGCGGGTACATGATACGAGAGGCGTGCTTCGCCCACCCGAGGCGGAGGTCAGCATGCCGATGTCCGAGCGGGACGCAGTCGGCCCAGGCAGGGCCCTGGCCCCAGGGCCTGGGACGAGCGCCCGCGTCTCGCTGGAGGGGAGACTGGAGAGCGTCCCCTTGTGGTACGCCGACGTGCTCGAGGCGGCCAGCGAGCACCACGGTCACTTCTTCCGGCTCGTCTTCCTCGTGAACGTCCTGCTGGCCTCCGCCTTCTACTGCCAGCCTTCCAGGGGTCGCCGGGGTCGCAGCAAGCTTCCGACGACATTGTGAGCTGAGGTGAGGCCTGGTCTCCCCAGTTGTCACCCGTGGCTGCAGCTGCGGCGCGCGCCATCTTCTAGATGGGGAAGTTGACGTACGACCACATGTGTCACGATGGCAGGCGTGCGTTTCAGGTCCCGTGACAGATGTCGTCATGAGGTAAACCGGTCCTGACGGAAATGGGTCCTGATGTGATTGTTTTCGCCGTTTTCGGGATCCCGGGCCCTTGCTCGGCCCTACCTCGGGATGAAGAGCTAGTCAAGAGGAAGTCCACAGGATCCAGGAACCGTTTCCCGCAGGACCCGTCCTTCATGCCAGCAGTAGTTTCAGGTTAGAGCCAGATTTGTGTCATGATACCTTCCCCAGCGCACCGTGTTTCACCACGAAGGCGCTGGGCTCGCAGACGCGTTTCAATGGCACGTGTGAGTCTCACGCAGCGACCTAGCTTCGAGCATTGACCCAAGTCGCTCGGGCCTGCCTCTGCGAAAGAGGCTGCCTCGGCGCCTTGGCGCTAGCACGGACTGGTATGCCCCTCCTGTACCGGCCGCCTCGGGACGCCGAGATGTCACGTCGGTGGGTGGGGGTTGTGGATCTTGTTGGGGGTACCGTTGTCGCAGTTTGATTGCGGCGTCGTCCACAGCGGCACGAACAGCAGATCGTAACGGCGACCTTTCTTCAACTCGCAGCCTTGGCCCGTGTCCAGTAGTATGGAGGAGACCAGTGCGCTCATGCTACGGGAGCGGCCCTTTCTCGTCCTCCTTGTGATGCTCGGTTAATGCCTTCTCGGATGCAATCGAGCCAGTAGTGTTGTTCTCTTACTCTTGCCCTGTGGGTCGCATTATTTTGCCCAGTCGTGCCGATCATCAGCCCCCGCGCCGGCGAGCAACACTCGTGTTGCATTCCCGCTGCGTCCCTATTCTCGGGTCAGCGGCGCGTAAGAGTGACCCCCCGCAGGGAGTGACCTTTGGTGCGGGTCCGCAGCGGTCCCGTCAGCACTGGCTGGCGCGCTTGGATTGCATGGATTTGGCCACCCTCCGGGGCCCTTCCACGCCGTGCACCAAAGGTCGCGCTTGCCTAGGGGTCACTCTTGCGTGCAGCCGATCCGGGAGGTGCACATCCGGGAGGTGCAGTGCCGATTCCTGGGCTGAGGGCTGGCCCGACAGCCCCTGCGCGCAGCTCGGCCCATCTATCAGAAGCTCTGTTTTCTCGTCGAGGGCCTGGGCATCTGATACTGAGGTCCTGAGGGATCGAGACCCTGGATAAGCTGCAGAGCCTTGTAGCCCCCTCCCCCCGAAGTTCGTGGAGGGGGGGCTGGAAGGTTGGCAGAGTTCGGCGAACTCTACCAGCGCAGGGTCCTGTATCCTTTTGGATGCTCTCTCCTCTGAGTGGCTGTGTCCTCTGAGGACCGGCTCGTGGCGTTTGATTCAGCTGCCTCCGGCAATTCCGCCACCGCGCCAGCGCAGCATTCTTCAGGAGAGGAAGAAACACACAGGCACAACAATTAATCCTCGATTCCTCCAAAAAAAAATGGAAAAATATGGGAAGTGGGGGGGAAGACAGAAACCCAGAACATATTGGAACAGAAGGGGAATATGTTTATTCTGTTTGTGTGTATTTATTTGTGTGTCTTTGGGCCCCTTCAATTCTGGGTGGCAATGGCTGGAGAAGGCGAGGGGGCCTGCTGGGGGCCTCCTAAGGCAGAAGGCTCGGGTTCTTCGTTCGGGCTCCCACTCCTGGGCCCGTCTTGGGGCCGTCTTCGGGCCCTCTTGGACAGTCTCTGGCGCCTCTTGGGCCGTCTTGGTGGGTCGTCTTGGAGCTCTCTTTGGGGTCTCCTGAGCCGTCTCGGCGGAATCTTGAGCGTCTCTTGTGCCGTCTTGGAGGCCTCCTGTGCTATCTTGAGGCGTTCGTTGGTCGTCGTGCGGCCATCCGTGAGGCCTCTTGGGCCGTCCTGAGCCGACAGACGCTCGAAGAGGTGAGATTTCGAACACCTGCCGAACAACTAAGAAGCATCAATCGGTCTGGTGTCACCGCGCTTTGCTGGAGGCTCTCTTGGAGGCCGTCTTGAAGGTCTCTTGGGCCGTGCTGGCGGCCTGGGTGGCCTGCCTCCCTGGCCGGTTGAGGAGCCGTCTCGGGTATCTCCGACGCCTTGGGCAGCGCCAGGGACGAGGCTGGGCGCTGACGGAGCCTCGGAAAGGGGGGGGCGGTGCTCGCAGTGGGATGCGACGAGCAGGGGGGATCCGGGAGAAGATGACATAAATCCCGCCAGGCAGCACGCCCCAGCGTGCTAGAGGGCACGGCTGCGGCTTGGGGCGCTGGTGACTGATCCAGGGAACTCTTGTGGGAGCATTGGGGCCTCGGGGGACCAACTTTGGGCTGTCTCGGGCAGTACTGGGGCTGTGGCGTCTGGGGGCCAGCTTGGGAACGTAGAAACACATTGCGCACTCACTCCAGCGGTGGTCACCTTGTCGGAACGCTTCAGCGCCTAATTGCAATCTTGTGGTATCGGGTCCGTCTTGAACAGTCTTGGTGCCTCCTTGAGGCCACCCTAGGCCTTCTTGACTCGACTTTTGCCAGTCACTGACCCCAGGAGCTCTCGACCCCTTTCCCGGGACTGGCGTTCTCCCAGGCGTCGCTTCTCGACGGTCCTGGGGCCTGAAAGCAATCAGCGGAGTCTGAAGTTTGCGAAACTCCTCCGGCGCCATGGTCTCAGGACTGAGCCTTCCTCCCCTTTTCGGAGGGCACCAACTATACACCAACACCGATCCTGGCCCAGGATCACCCTGGGCCTAGGATCGGTGTATATGCCTTCTTGCGCAAGGCAGGAGGGCGTATACACCGATCCTGGGCCCAGGGTGATCCTGGCCAGGATTGGTGTTGGTGTATAGTTAGTGCCTTCCTACCTTTCTCCCTCTCCGCCCATCACTTCAAAATCGGCGCTCCATGCCCGTCCTGTGGTGCACAGGGGCCAGAACCTCAAAGGCGGGTCCGGCAGTGGCCGCGAGGAGTCCCCCTGGGGAGGCCCGCAACAAAAAAAGGCCCAACCGCGTCGGAAAGCCGGAACACCTGAATAGAGCCATCGGCCTGACCCCCAGACCCCTTCGAGTCATGAAAAAATCACGACGGGAGGTTTTTCCATATTTTCGGCCTTTGGGGGCCCCTACCGGGCCTCGGGGCTGTCAAAAAACGATTCAGGATGAAAAACCGGTCCTGGGGAATGGGTCCAAACCGCTGGGGGTCGACGTCATGAAAAAATCACGACGTCGGGGGTCTGGGCCTAAGGAACGATAAGTAAGGAACGAAGCCCCTTGTCGTTCCAAGTGAGTCTACGAAGTCCGAAGGAACACCAGGGGGGCTCGCCGCCGAAAAGGTAGCAGAACGCATGCAAACCCAAGGAACGACCGAGCCCCTTTCGAAAAGGAAGCGTTCCTTATTCAAGCCGCTCACTGTACATCGATCGCCTCCTGCTGCCTCCTCCCAGGATTTCGCCCTGGCATACCTGGCCCTGAAGGTCGGCGGCGACTGGCTGCACGCCATAGGAGCGCGCCACCCCGACGCCGCCCTCTGCTCCACGAGTCGGTCCGCGCAGCGCTGGTCGTCGCGGTTGCCGTCGCCGTCGCTGCCGCTGGCGCCGTCGTCGCGCCGCTTCCGTCGCCATCGCCGCCGCCGCCGCCGTCTCCGTCCCCTATCGCCGTCGCCGTCGGGAATCGAGGCCCCACTAATCTGCAGCGATCGGCACGTGCCGAGGGCCAGTCCTGGGACCGAGTTCGAGGGCTCGGGGGGCCGCGTGGCCGCTGGAAGAGAACGGGAAGGGGGGGGGGAGGACTTGGGACAAGTTGCAAGGAGGGGCAGGAGGAGCGGGTCGACGAATGGGTAGTAAAATGGAGCTGGAAGGAACAATCTGGAGCAGCGGGAGGACGGAGGAGCCGCTAAATAGGAGGAGGAGGAGGTGGCGGGACGAGAGATGGATTGACCAGAAGGAGATGCATTATGAGTTCGAGGATTGATGCGATAGAAGGTCGACGAGGGTCCCCGTTTTGCCTCAAGACGTCTTCCCCGGATTACGTGTCCAAAGTTCGCTTGAGCATGGACAAGAACGCTGCCACGTGCCCCGATCCGCGAGGGTCCCGCGACGGGGCTGGTCCGCTGTGCGATCCCATCGCTTCAGATCTCCGTCTTCATCACCGGCCCCGTGTGCACGGTCGTGGAGGCAGAGGCCAACTCTGATGTCGGCGGGGGGAGCGCGCTTCGGGGCCGCAGCGCCTCGGAGCGGCTCCGCCGAGCCTAGGGGGATGGGGGCGGGAGTCTCTCTTGAGGTGGTCGTGAGGACCGCCAGGGCCCCGAGGAGGGGCCGAGGGACGCGCAGGTCACTGTTAAGGACCGCCAAGGCCCCCGCGCCCCTCCCACCGCCCCTGGCTCATGGGCATCGCGGCCACCATCTCTGGGCAGCCCAGGGAGGGGCTCTCGGGCGGGGCTGGGACAGGGCTGCTCCACCTATCCCTCATGAATCGGCCCCCGGGGCTGGTTTGTGAAGTCGCCTCTCCGGAGGGCGGCGGGAGGCTGCTTTATTACGGCGGTTTTTCGCGTGACCGAACCGAGGGTGGAGTTATCAAGGCGCTGTTTGCATCGACATTTCGGCATCGGTATTTATCATGCAACCCGTCACCATCACCGCGCATGCTCTGACAGATCCTAGATTGTGGCAAGAGTGACCACTTGATTGTAGGTTGCCTTTGATGCGACACTAAACACATCGATGCACGAACAAGTCAGGCGTGCACATGCAGATATGTAGACACAGCAACGCGCCCCCATGCCACCATTTCTGATGCAAATCCGAGCACAGGGAACAGCTGTGACGCTCACTTGTCAGTGATTCGAGCAACCAGAACTCAAACTGCCACTGTCCATTGACAAAGAGACGTAACTAGAATTGTCAGAATTCACGGATGGGGGATGAAGTATTAAGGTGCATCCCGTGGATGGGGGGGCGGATATTTCGTAACCGAAGCAGG